CACACACACACACACACACACACACACACACACACACACACACACTGGTCTTAGATGACTGAACTTGGGCTGTGGCCAAAGCTGGTCCAACCTGATGGTCTCTCCTAAGCAACTCAGCTTGGGAAGTCTGTACTTGAGGTCACAGAATAAAGAAGCCTTGCTCTGGAGACTCTGGAGTGTTCTGGTTTGACCAGTTTGGTGACCATTCTGGCTTTTGATAATAGCATCTCCAGAGTATTGAATCACTCCCTTCATCCCCTCAGGCCATGCGATGTAAGTAGAGTTGGCCTGACCCTAAATTCCAGGGGTGAGTACCTGACCAGGCCTGGTCACTCAGTGTAGCTTCCTGCTGGCTCTGCCATCGGCTCAAGGGTGGGCACGGGGCCTGGGTCTGGTTCAGGGAACTTCATCCCAGGACTCTGGCTGGAGCTATGGGGAAACAGGGCTCATCTCCCTTACAGGCTGCTGAATGGAGGGCTGTCTGCCAGGAGTTTCTGGGGACCATCTTGCCACCACCCAATCCAAGAACGAAGCTGGTCCAGGAGAAAGCAGAGGCTGCAGGGAACTAAAGGAATTGTCCCTGGACCTGTTAGTCACCTGAACCCACTTCTTTTTCTTTGGATTTTCCCAGAAACCAGCTTATATTGGCTTCTGGTCACTTGCAACAGAAGTTCCTACACACTTGTTCTGTGTGAATTATCTTCTTTTGCATAAGTTAGTTTTGAGGTGGATTTCTAGTCTTTATAGCCAGAAATCCTAACTTTTAACTAAGTCTGACTCCCACCCTAGATGGTTCCAGAAAGAGGATGGAGCAGAAAGTTTGCAGGCACTCACCAGAGATCTGAGCAAAGCAAAAAGGCCTGTGGGAGTAATGGAATGACCCAGAATCCAGGTGCTGTTTCCAGAAGGAAGAACAGATGCCAGATAGGCAGGACGAACTTGCTCATCACTCCCAGCCTTAGAGTACCAATCAATAGTGTGTGTGTGTGTGTGTGTGTGTGTGTGTGTGTGTGTGTACAAGTGTATGCTTTTGGGGAACCTTCCTGGGTGGGATTTTGAAAACACAAGGACACCAGAAAAAGATGCTATAGGGATGGAGTGAGGCTTTAGGGATGTACAGGGGCTGTAGGGGTGGAGTGAGGCTGTAGGGATGGACAGAAGCTGTAAGGATGGACAGAGGCTATAGAGATGGAGTTGGGCTGTAGGGATGGACAGAGGTTATAGAGATGGAGTGAGGCTGTAGGGATGAACCGAGGCTGTGGGGATGGAGTAAGACTGTAGGGATGAATGTAGGAATGGAGGAGTCTGTAGTGAAGGAGTGAGACCATAAGGGTATAGTGAGGTTGTAGGGATGGAGCCAAGGCAAACAAACAACTACCGGACATCCATGAAGGCAGGCTGACTTGGAGGTCATCACATAGCACTGTCTATGCATCTGATGCACTCACTGTATATGCAGGAACTTCATTTAAAGTAAGTGTTGCCCTGTGCTGCCTAGCTCTCCACATTCAGGTCAGGGTACTTCCTTTGTTCTCAAAGCTCCTGTCCCATCCTACTCTCCCACCCAGGGTCCTGGGACTCACCAAGTTTTTCCTAGGCTCTCAGCTCAGCTGTTTTCTTCTTATGCACCAACGCCACCTCCTCAATGGGTAGCCCCCACCCACCATCTCTAATAAGCTGCCCATCCCTCTCTATCACATGCCCTGTTTAATTTCCTCCCAGCCCTCATAGCACCCTATAATTCTCTTGGATTTTTTTTCCTTTACTCATTCTTTTTAAATTAATTTAAATTTTTGAGATAATTAAAGATTCAGATGCAGCTGTAAAAACATAAATGTAGAGAAGGATTTTGTGTTGTCTTTAGTCAGTTTAAACCAATTATAACATCTTGCAAAATTAGTGCAACTATAATAAAATACCACAACCAGGGTATTTACTAGACGGTCATATGCAGTGAGTCAAGGACCTGCCCATTGTCATTCTAGCACATGTCCGCTGCTCTTCTGATCTCCCCCAGTCCCTGGCAACCACTAATTTGCTCTTCATTTCTAGAATCTTGCCACTTCAAGAACTTAATGTAGGGGGATGGAGAGATGGCTCCTTGTTTAGGAGCGATTACTGCTCTTGCAGAGGACCGGGTTTTGGTTCCCAGCACCCACATGGTAACTCACAACCATGTATAACTTCATTTCCAGGGGATCTAATGTCCTCTTCTGGCCTCTGTGCTCCTACACAAACTTGGTGTATATAAATACATGCAAACAAATATATGAATAGATCTTTTAAAAAGAATTTGATGTAGGTAGAATCATACATGTGTATTTGGGGCTGACTTTTTTCACTTATCAGAGTTCTCTGGGGAATCACCAAGTCATGTTGATCAATGGCTTGCTTCTTTATACCACTATCTCTCTTACCACCAGTGTGTCTGTTTCTCCACATCAGCACCAGCATTTGTTTCTGTCACTGTATTTTATTTGTGCCAGTCTGAGATGTGCATAGTAACAGTTCATTGCGGCTTTAATGTGCATTTCCTAATGGCTGTGGAGCTGAGCTTCCATTTCCTTATTTCTGTCTATGTGCCCTCTTTTCCAAAATGTCTGTTCATATGTTTTGCCTACTTTTAATTAGATGGCTCTGTTGTTCTTGTTGTCTACTATGTCTTCAGAATTCTTCATATATACTAGGTATTAGTCCTTTGTCAGATGTGCAGATTACTGGGCCTTTCTTACAGTCTGTAGCTTGTCTTGTCAACCTCCTAATAGGATGCTTCACAGAACAAAAGTGTTAATGTTGATGAAATCCAACTGATCAATGTATTCCTTTTATGCGTTCAATATAAAATCTAATAATGTTTTTTGAACCTTGGTTCCCAAAGAATTTTCTCCTATAGTTTTCTAAAACTTTTACAGTTTTAAAACATACATTTTACAACTGTGATAGATTTTTAAATGCAGAGCTCGGATGAAAGTTGATCTTTCTGCTATGATTGTTCAATAGCTCCAGCACCATTTGTTAAAAGCTTGTCCTCACTCCACTAAATTGATTGGCACCTTTGTCAAAAATCATTTGAGCATTTGTATGAGTTTTCTCTTGGATTCTTTTGCTCTGTTTCACCGATGTATGAATCTACCCCTCAGTGGTGGCAGTCTGGATTACTGCACTATGTAAGTCTTGAAACTGGGTAGACTGATTCATCCTACTTTCTTCTTTTCAAAGAAAAATGTTCCAGCTATTCTGCTTCCTTTGCCTTTACATATGCATTTTAAAGCATCTTTGTTTATACATGTAAGAAGTATATGTATAAATTGTATTAAACTTGTGTTCAAACTTAAGAATTGATACCTTGACCATATTGAGCGTTTTAGTCCGTGAACATGTATACCTATTTTAAGATCAGTGATTTCTTTTTGATATTTTTCAAAATGCTTCATTAGTTTAAAACCTATGTATTTAACTTTTTCTAGTATAAATATTATTGTGTATTTAGTTTGGGGCCAACTTTTCATTACAAGTTTATAGAAATACAACTGACTTTGTGTATTCATCCTATAGCCTAAGACAGTGCTGAATTCATTGATTAGGTCTAAGCATGCTTTGATAGACTCTGGATTTTCCTACATGGACAATAATTATCTCTTAAGGTATGGAGCATTTCCTTCTTTCTGA